GCCACAAGTCCCGTTTCAAATATTAAGGTGGTCAAATCGAAGCGCGAACCGGGATGGGGTCCCTGGGACCCCGTGTGTGGTGGAAGGGTTAATCTTCGCTCGTTATTCGTTAAAGTTATTAACAACAAAAGTTTAAGAAATAATGTCTTTTTTCTGCTATATGAAATGTTCTGCTTTAAAATATTTTACGACTTTCCACGCGAAGCGACTCTTATTCCATCTCCCCCTTGCCAACGGGGGAGAAAGAGAGCCTTTCCACTCGAAGAGATTTTCATCCCATCTACCTCTCTGCTTCAGAGTCGCATGACTTCCATGCGAAGCGACTTTCACCTTACTTTCCCCCTTGCTTCAGGGGCGCACGACTTTCACGCGAAGCGACTTTCACCTCACCTTCCCCCCTCTGCTTCAACGTTATTTCTTAAACATTTTTTGTTAATAATTTTTTAACGAATAACGAGCGACGGTTAAAATTTATTGGAGGTGACTCAAGATCATGACAACATATGTCAAGGTCATTGAAATCGGCGAGGTCGTCAGTACTATGCAGTTTTACCAAAACATTTTATGAACTACATAATAGAAATTGTCAAGCAAATTGTTCTAAGAAAAAATATTTATCATGTACTTTAGAAAATTTACACATTACATTTTAATACAAATTAATTGCTATTATATTATTACATTTTAGCACGCGCGCGCGCGCGCGCACACACACGCACACACACACACAACTTTCAGGAATTACTAGAGAATTCTTAAATTAATTTTTGTATAGAACTAATAATTGCACTGTTAAACTATATTTACTTTTGTCTTCAAATCTAATTTTAGAGTTAGTGAACAATCCTGTAATGCTGTACCTTGTACTTTGTTCGATATGGATTTTTATTTCCAAGAAATTGCCGCGTTCATCTATCGGTGATGCATTATTCTCGCGGATAAACAACTTTTTTTAGTGATGATTTTTAGTATAAAAAATAAGAACGTCTCATTAGACATATCTTATTAAGTGTTGCATTATAAATACATCATAAATGACTAACGTAAGTCAAATTAAAAATATTGTTGTATTGTGAAATTTATATAAGATATTTTATATATGGGGTAGAGTATTTTACTCGCTTCAGGCGGATATCTCGGAAACCAAGAAAGGTAAAAAAAGTTTTATGTAAAAGTTGTAACTTTTTTTGTAGGAAAGAAAATGAAAATAACGGATTTTATATACATAGAATACGCTATCAAGGTCAACATAAATTTTTTAAATTAGTAGGAAACTCTTATCTTTTAACTCCTTATATAAAATGGATTATAACCTGAAGTGTTTCAAAAACGTCTTGACATCAACTATATAATAAAAAATAAGAATATCCATTTAAAGGCAATTTGCATATCTTAGAATAAGCATATGTAATGAAAAAAATAAGGATTTTTATTAAAAAATTTGCATAGCGCGCTTAGAACAATAAGCATATGTAATAAAAAAAAAAAAGAATTTCCATTTAAAAAATTCATGTCGACCTTTATCTTTATTTTCTTTTTTGATAGCGTTCCGTTTACAAAATTATTATTTATATTATTTCCATCGTCTTTCCCTCAAGAAAACATACAACTTGTACATTAAACTTTTTTTATCTCTCTTAGTTCCCAAGATATCCGCTTGTGGGACAATTAAAATTGATTAAATATTGCCTTAACCTATATATTTATCACTACTTAGGATCCATTCTATACTTAGAACAATAAGGAATGATAAACTATTTAACATATTAATTTTAAAATTAACATGTTAAATAAAATTTTAATGCAATTTTACTATATTTTAATATTTTTTAAAATTAATCAAACGTATCCTATATTTTGTTACAGAAAGATTAATAAGCAAAAACGACCCTTTCTGCTTCAATGTTGAATAACTCGGTGAAAAAAAATCGTACAGAGGTCTATAAAACAGCAAATTAAAGGTAAAGATTCATTCTTTCGAAAGTTGTAAACCCTATTTGTGCGCAATTTTCAATTGGCGCCGTGGAACTTCGCAAATTTCGTAAACAATTTTGAAAATTTATGCATCTTCATTTATGTTTATGTAACTTCACATAATATCAGTACGACCGTTTTTTAACCTTAGCAGGCCGTTGTTATTTATGATTACCTTCCTGCCCGCACCAGGGTCTGTGGAATCCTGCAACTTTGTCACGCTATATCTCTGGATTGAATATGTATTTTTTAGCTCAAAACGTGTGAAATTTATACCTCGAAGTTAGACAAAGACAGAGAAATATGAATTAAATAAATATTTTATCTTCAATTAATTACAATGCTCCAAAGAAATTTTATCGAAAAAATTCGTAAAAAATAACTATTTGGATAAAAAACTCTCACATTTTTAAATTTAATGTTCAAACAAAAATCCGTAGGATTTCTTTAATCGACTCTTTGGACTAACAAAAAGAAATAGTACAATATGAATCGCTCAAAAAAGTATAATTAGTTGAACTATCGAAAATTGACATTTTTGAAAAATCTATACATATTACACTGAAAAAAATCTTAATTTCAAAGAAATATCTCTTTGCTCGTATTAAAAAAAAATATTTCTTTTTGGATCAATGAAAATTTCTTTGAAAATACAATATCTTATTTCTTTGAAAGTACAATATCATATTTTCAAAGAAATTTTTATCGATCCAAAAAAAGAAATAATTTTTTTTAATACGAGCAAAGAGCTATTTCTTTGAAATTAAGATTTTTTTTCAATGTATAAATTTACAATTAATAAATAACATTTTATTATTTGAACAATATAAAATGATAGATAAAGGATTGTACATGTATAATTATTTTATTATAGTATATATATATATATATAATTAAGTTTATTAGGATTTAGTTTAGATGATGCAACATTCGCTCTAAAGCAATACACCGCCCCGACTGAGCGATCTCCGAAGACTAATAGAGATTATAAAATTTCTACTATTATTATATTGAAATAATTCTTTTAAATTCTACATTTTCGTTCTATTTATTTTTATATTATCCGAAACTTAGTAAATTTAATAAACGTATATTTAATAAAAAATAAAGAGGTACTCAGAACGCTGAAAACTTAGAAGTTAGTCACGTATGGGTCCCAAGTACCCTCTTTGAACTTTCGTGCATTCTCACATCGAGAATAACGCAAAAAAAATCCTTGCAGGCTTATCATATATATGGACAGTTAAAAGTTTTTTTCGGCCTCAATCCGGGTCTTCAAATTATATTATAAAAAAGTGACAGCAATGTGAAAAATCGCATAGGGTACGTTGGACCCATGAGCGATTTGATAGAAAAGTACCGACCTGGAAAGTAGAGATTTCAAGCTTTAAAAGGTTTTTTTAAACATCTTGCTACGATGATTTTTCACTGAGTTATTGCTATTTGAAAATATTAAAAATTTGTGCAAAAATTTAGTGGCCCGTTTTTTTGTTGCGTGTAAGTGTATCATATCTTATAATTATTATGATTTTCAAATTCTAAGAGAAAATTCTTTCCATGTACAAACAAATATATTAGGGTATCGAAGATGCAGAAAAATCATTACATTTAATAGATATATAAAAAATGAGCTTGCCTTTGAGATTGCAACAAACCGAGTAACAAAGATCGTTGAATTCGATGTATATTTGTGAATTCCATGATTTCACAGGTTCCAACAATTTTTCTGATTCCTGCACATGAATCTTGCAGTCACCTTTCAGCATCTTTGCTGCATTATTTTTATCGTTCATTTCTAACATCTTACTAAACACTTCGTTAAATTATAACTTTAAAATTATATCCGTTGTCAATTGATTAATTTAAGAGTTAACAATTACGGTATGAGAAAACGAAGGCGCACAATATGCGATGATCATTTAATACTTTATCAATCACACTTGTCTGCACACTGAGTACATCGATTATAGCATTAAACTTTGGTTTTATACATTGATTGACGTTACACTTATAAGCGTGACGTCAGATTATAAGCGTGAAAAGTAGCGTATCTAGAAGTTATGAATATCAAAATCAGTACTTGGGACCCATCTGTCCAAGCATCGTATGCATAAAGGAACCGAGAGAGCTCATCTCTCAATTTGCAATCATAAGCCGTTTTTTATTTTGCTCATTATTGCCTATGATACCTATAATTATTATGCTACACCGATCTTCTTCTAGAGCATTCTTGTTTCTTATTACAGAAAATATGAATGTTTCCATACAGCACAGAAATTTGCAGGAATACCCTAGTGAAAATTTTTCTCAAAATTTTTCATATAATTTTTCAGAATTTCTATATAATTTTATAACTCTCACATTTTACGAATTGGAATTTCTCAGAAAATCTACATCTTTTCTCAGAATATTTTTATATGTTAATTATAAAATATCGTAAGATTTCTAAGATTTTTTGTAAGTATAATTTTCTGATGAAATATTATAAAATCTAAAAAATTAAAAAATATTTTTAAAAAATTATAGGATGAAAAATTTCAGAATATTTCAGAATTTACTTGTATGAAAAATTCTGAGAGAAGATTTAAATTTTCCGAATATTTTTAAGTATGTTTGAAAAATATTCCAATTCGTATAAAAATTATGAGAAAAATTTTCACCAGGGTATTGCTGCAACGTGTTACAATGTTGCAATAACGCGACGTTTGAACAGATATAAGTCAGACGGAACGCTGGCGCGCGCGCGCGTCTATCCTTTATTATTTACTCTTCATTCGTCTAGCTCTATCGGAACAACGCATAGAAACGTTTCGACTCATCTGTGTTTTAAATAAGCCTAATCCAGATCTAGAGACTTATTTCTAGTTATCTGTGTAAGGCTATCTGTTTATTAATCAAACATGAAGTGATTTCACAGATTAATATAGATTCTACAGCAGATAAAGTTTTCGTCAGAACGAGAAAGGTGAAATCATTACTTTTTTATGAATATAAATTAAAAATATTAAAATAATGTTTGAACATATGTTTATGACGTCTAAGATTATACATGTTATTTTTTTTATCCTGCATCTCCATACTATACTATAATAGAATAGATTATGTAATTTTTCTAAATAAAAAAATTTATTTAAGTAAATAAAAATTACTAATTAAATTGTAAAAATTACAATGAATTAGTAGCAACGTAAGTTTTAATCATGATTAGTACTAGATTAAATTAATTATTGCAAAATTACTTTTTAAAAAATAAATACATCGTCAAAAGTACACGCGCTTCTTCAAAAAATAATTGAATATAGTTACTTTAAAAGAATAAAGTCCAAGTAGTACGTATCTTTTTATTCTCATTCATTTTATCCTAAATAGTAATATCTTTAATTTTCCTTAAAAAATTAATAATATAAAAAATTACTCTAATTAAAGTAAAATTTATACATATTATACAGTGAGGGGCAAAAGTTCCGGAACGGTTGAGTATGCATTTTTTAGAAAAATCTTTCGGACACAAAAATTGTAGAGTTTAAAAAGATTTATTTACTTAAGGCCTATTTATCTTATCCATTTGACCTTAATGCCCATTTCTACCAATATAGATTAATTTTAATCTCGGTTCAACTTACTCTTCGTCTTTTTCTAATCTTTAGAACTAGAAAAAGACAAAGATTAAGTTGAACCGAGATTAAAGTTGATCTGCGTTGGTGGAAACGGACCTAAGTGATATCGTCCAAGGTTGAATAACTTAACTTTTTTTTTAACTAAATTAAATTAAAGTTAACAACCTTGAAAATTTAACTTAATTAAAATACAAGTTAATCCATAATAAAATTAATTGAATTAAAAGTTAAGTTAATAAAAAAAGTATTGCAATACTTTCCACTTTTTAATTATTACAATAATTAAAAAGTTAAAGTTAAATTTTATTTTGTTCGAACGAACAACCAAAAAAAAAAGAAAAAGTTTGACTATTTTACATAATTTTCTTCGTATTTTTCCTTTCACAGCTTATTTATTAAAGAATCTGGTTATTTTTGTTCACAAGTAACAATTATACAATATAAAATTACTAAATTATATACTCATTAACCTCTCGCATTGTATCTAAGAATTGACTTAAAAAAATCAAATTAAAAGTTAATAGTTACCGATAAAATGTAACTAAATTAAGTTAAAAAGTTAATAGTCTAAAATGTAACTAAGTTAAATTAAAATTAATTAACTTTTTTACTTTTTAACTTAACTTTTATTTTTTTAACTTAGCATTACCCAATCCTGATATCGTCAGATCAACGTCATATCCATTTTTTTAAATGGAAACCCCATTTTTCATTACATATTCTTGTATTTTATTTCGAAAATTTTTTGAAATACTATAATAATATATTTTTTCATTAAGTACTTTTTGAGTTATAAGTTAAACATTACAGTACCGTCGGCATTAGCATTAGGGTAACTCCGGTATATACGCCGCACCTATCAAAAACTTAATTTATTAAGTATTATTTACTATGTTTAAAATAAACGAATTACATCAGTAAAATTTTTACTTTGTACTGTCTACTACTATGAAAAAATATTAGAAATCCGAAATATTTAGTTTTCGTATTAAAAAAAAACTTTTTGAAATCTTGCATTTTTGTTATATATAGATAATGGGTGCACTGAAAAAAATTTCTGGTTGAAAATGAACGAATCAGAAATTTCTGGTTAAATTTATTAGAATTCTAGTTGAGATAACCGGAATTTTGGTTGATACTATATTTCTAGTAAAATCTACTAGAATTCTTATTTTTACCAGAATAATTATATTAATCAGAATTCTAGTTATCTTAATTAGAATTCTAATAGACATAACCAGAAAATTCTGATTCGTCCATTTTCCACCAGAATTACTGTTTAATTCAACCAGACCATTTTTCTCAGTGTGGGATATATGGCAAAAATGCAAGAGTTTCAACAAATTAAACAAAGAATACGAAAGCAAAGCATTTGTATTTTGCTATACAACATGCTTTACTATTCCTCTACACGTATGTATCACGAAATAACCACTAGGTCTTTTACACGCCATACAGTAATCATTTTATGTAGATTATAATTTATGATGATGCTACTTGTTACACACACAGTGACAAATCGATTCAACTCACAATAATTTCATTAATATTAACAGTAAGAAGCTGAAATTATAACTCAATTCGATTTTATTTTTCAGATTATTTCCCCAGAGAGACAATACCTCTCTGGGGTAGTACAACAATAAGCGGCTATGCCGCGCGCCAATAAAAATATATTTATAGCGGGGGACAAGGGCCCCCCCCCCCCGCATGGGCTACTAAGACTAAAAGACTGGGGGGCAAGCCCCCCAGTCTTCGCAATCATCACAATATATTTTTCATCCCCCCAGCACGCAAGCTGGCGGGATACGTTATCACAGATTAGTGCTCCGGGATATCACAGTGGTGTCGTCAGAAAATAAAAGTCCCGGAGGAGCGCGCGCAGCAATATAAATAATAATAATAATAAAATTAATAGGTGTATATCGCGCTCATTCATACTCGTGTAAAATACAAAAAATCGCAAACGCGGCATACACACTCAAAAGAAAGAAAAGAAAATAATAGAAAAAGATAGAAAAAGAATAGGGTAGAAAGAGGTAGAGAGTAAAATAGCTTAGCTAATAAAGAGTAAAGGTACAAAAGTACATACAAGAAATAAATAAATAATTAAAACCAGCAGAGAGGCGTCCCGTCCAATAGTCAGCAAGTATATATTAAAATTAAAATTAAAAATGTATATATAATATAGAAGGCGAATAGCGTCAATATCACAGTTGTCAATAAATAGTAAATTGGACATTGGGACACTCTCTCTGCTAAGTTGAAAAAGGGGAGGCCAAGACAAAATACAAAATAAATTACGCGACACTCGCAACGTTCGAAACGCGACGCGCCGTATCCTGCGCTGATCTTTCCTCAGCGAGCCAGCGTCGACGAACTGCTCTTGGCGGCATCGAGAGAAGATCCCCAGAGGGACGGGAAGGAGCAAGGTACTGGCGGGTGCCGGACACGTGCTCCACGTATATGTCTCGTGACCAGCGAATGGTATCCGAGACGATGAGACGACGCATCATTGAGGCGTATTGGGCCGTGACCCTCAGCAGCTTCAGCACCGCCTCATTTCTCGGATCCCTCGAGCCGAGGGCGCCGACGACGAAGGTCGTCACGACGACACGATACCCTTGCCGTTGTAATTCTTCGGCCAGGGCGTTGTATTTGTCAAGTTTACTCGCCCTGGCCTCATCAAATGCTACCAATCTATTCTCAAAGGGCACCGTGACGTCGCATATGACGACACTTTTGGAGGGCTCGGGCCTGACCACAAGGTCAGGTCGTAGCGCTGCCAAATCGCCGCTGACGCCCTCCACCCGCTGGTTAACCCGCACTACCCCTGGAAGGCGAGTGGCATGCCTGACCACGAGGTCAGGTCGTAGCGTCGCCAAATCGCCGCTGACGCCCTCCACCCGCTGGTTAATCCGCACTACCCCTGGAAGGCGAGTGGCCTTCCAGAGGCGGTGCAGGACAGCGTTGTGCCTCAGCTGTATTGCGGCAGAGTGGATACCGCAGTGACAGAGCACATGAGGTAAAGTCTCCGATGCTTCACCGCACCGCCGACAGCGCTTGTCGTTTGTCTCCCAACGTCGTGCGCCGTTGAGAGGGAGTACGTCTAAGCGGGCCTTATGTATAAAGCGCCAATCGGCGAAGCGAGTGAAACTGCCGCCACGGATAAAGTGATTGCTCACCCGACTCCGTGACGACACCTCGAAAACCTTACCCTGATCAGGCTTACTAAGTAACCTATTTGCGTGCTCTGCTACAGCTGAGCGCAGCCGATTCACTACCTGGCCGCGCGCTCCAGGCGG